TTTCTCTTTGACTGGCGCCAAATCTTGATAATCTCGTGTCTGTTAGTTTGTCAATTACCATGGAATTTCTTCCAGAATCTCATTCCATTCTGCCTGGTAATTGGACTTTATCAAATGATGCTGTTGATTCAAGAAATTTGGACATTTTAAGAAAATGAAATTGGACATGATACCATGATAGAATGGAAATAAATTGGAATTTGGTCTCTGAAATTCAATTGTTTTATGTTTCAATTATTGAACATACAATTCCACTTTGATAAGAGATCTGGCTTTGTCTTCTATCAATCTCCAGAACACCTTATTAATAATATTTATATTTATTCTAGCAATTGTAATGATTTGAATTAACCTGATCCACGGCTGTTGATTTGACTCCATTTTCCGGACATGACCGGTAGCGCAGCTCAAATGACTTATCTATACGTTGATTGTTTCAAAAGAAATCAGTATGAAGTTTACAGTATTTCTACTTTATCAGTTAGATAAACCAAGATAAATATAGTGAAAATTAATAAAAACTGAAACGGAGAAGATGATATTATTCTCATAGATTTTCTGTCTCAATATTATTTTGTTTAAACAATATTTATTTAAATAATAAGATGGGGCAACAGGCTTTCGTCTATTATAGTACTCTCTCTCTCTCAACATCATGTATTGAATGAAATTTTAAAGATTTCAGGTGACTCAGTAAAGACATTGTTTATTTTGTTGGAAAGTGAGAGCGGTCAGTTATAGTACTTCTCAATCCAATTTTATACAATTTCATAAAACAACCTTTTAAACAGTCGTACTAATAGTTATCCTATTTCATGACATTTATCCCTTATTAGTCCATAAAAATAAGAGATGTGTAGCAGAACAGCAGATATATTTGATAAATTGGTTTATATTTTGATGGTACCTGGATGGGCAAAAATATCTTCTACATCGAAATTACAATTCAAAATCAACATATCACTATTGATCTTGAAAGAATTGCATGTGAACATAGTTTGAATGTGACAACACCAGAAACCATGAATGAGCTCTTGATTGGATAAAAATAACAATTTTATATTTCTTTTCATGATAAATTGGATCTTGTTCTGATCAGAATCTAAATTCAAGCCACAGCTTCTGAATGATTCAGGAAATGGCGCCTGATTTGGACAAGTTCCTGTAATTTGTCGAGTTGTTATGAGAGCGATGGAAAGTCTGGTCGTTCATTAGTGTAACATTGACATGAAACTTTTCAATATTTCAAACAAGTTTGGTTGATCTTTGAAAAAAGACTGTGTATTCTTAGACATACATTGATGTGAGACTGGTCGTTCTCTTGAAAATATCGTTGATTTACGAAAAGAGACTGGCTCTTCATTAGAGCATTATTAAAACTGGTCATTCTTTAAAAAGACTGGTCGATCTATGAAGAAGAGACTGGGTAATCATTACATTGATAAGAGGCTGGTCGTTCTTTTTAAAAGACTGGTTGATCTATGGAAAGAGACGAATTGTTCATTAGTGCAATATTAAAACTAGTCGTTCTTTTCAAAATACTTGTCGTTCTTCTAAAACGTCTGGTCGATCCATGAAAAAGAGAGTAGTTGTTCATTAAGGAAACCATGACAAGAGAATCGATGTTGAAATGAAAGAAATTATAAATTGGTGAAGAAAGTTTGAGAATTAATAGGACCTGCTTCGTAGTTCAAGTAGCTCGTTGGAAAAGTTCAAGAGCCTCAATCTGACATGGACAGTCTCCTCCAATCATCATTCACCTTAATTTATTCTCCGTCTGCTCAGGTTGTCGTGGATACACAGTCTGATTAACAACCACAAAAAGTCAACAATATTTGACTATCAACTTTAAGTAGAAAGAACCAGACTTGTCCAATTTGGTACATTGTCAGTCAATCTTGATTCTTTCTTCTCCAATTTTCTAAAAATTTGTTTTTGTTTAATTTCAATTTTTAGGGAATCTCAAGAAATAAGTTGATCAAATATTTTCATGTCCTTTATGATTTTGTCAGTTCAAACTACAGGGGATCGTTCGTTTGTTGCCGGATATTTATATGATTTCAAAAATAATGGTTAAATGGTTAGAAAATACACTGAGCTAAATTGTCAAATCCAAAACCATGACCTCAAGTTATTTTACAACCATAAACAGGTTTCATAAGACCATTTGACCACTAGCTCTTTTACTACCATAAACAGGTTTCATAAGACCATTTGACCACTAGCTCTTTTACTACCATAAACAGGTTTCATAAGACCATTTGACCACTAGCTCTTTTACTACCATAAACAGGTTTCATAAGACCATTTGACCACTAGCTCTTTTACTACCATAAACAGGTTTCATAAGACCATTTGACCACTAGCTCTTTTACTACCATAAACAGGTTTCATAAGACCATTTGAGAAAGAGTTGCTGCCAATAGAGAAAAATACTCCAGGCTCTTACTAACTAAACATTGAACTTAAACCATTAAACATTCGTATTTGACCACTAGCTCTTTTACAACTCTAAATATTACCATAATGCATATATACAACATATGTTGCAAATCAGGAAAAAAACTTGTTCTCATGTACTTTAACAAACTAAATTTCACAAGCTATAGTACTCAAACCAACAAAAACTCCATTTGACCAAATAACAAATATTTTTATGTGTAGAAGACCTGATGAAGGGCTGAAAGAAATGACAAATTGACAATCAAGTCACAAATCATGTCAGAGGAAGTGGCTATGTCAACACAGCCCTCATTTGACCCCAAATATCTGATTAATGTTTTGTATTTTATGAGAGGGTATTATTCTTTATTATTGATTCTAGTCATGTCAGGGGCCAAACCTGCTGAATTTGATTTTGACCAATTTGGTGACACAGGGTTTGTTTTAAATAGATCGGTGTCCCTGGCAGATATTTGATGATGAAATAAAATCAAACATCATGGACAGATTGCTGTTTCTGAAAACTCAGATTTGTTTAAATTTGATGTCTGGTTCCATTGTATTGTCTTTGACTTGTTGATTTTGACAAATTCATTATTGCAGAAAGCTTGAGGTTCAATTCCTTGTTAATTTGATAATTTGGCATAACATTATGCTAGTCAAATGGGCTGTAAGTGAGTACAAATTCCCCCAAGGACCAGCTGGTAGACAAAGGATCCTTGTGAACCTAAGTTGTTATCTTTGTAAAATCAGTACCAAGAGGTTTGGCCAAGACCCAAACTGGTAGACAGGATCCTTCTGAACCTAACTAAATATTTCTGTTAGAATGGTGGAATCTTTCTAAAGATTTTAGAATTAGATGTTTATTTTGATTGAAACACATTGTTTGCCATAAATATGAGAGAACTATGGAAGCTGGTTAAATTGAGAATGTTGAAATTAATTAGTAAAAGTTTGACGTTGCCTTTAATTTGAGTTAATTAAAGTCATAAATTGATAGTTGGGTCTTAAAGTCAGTGACATTAACACTTGTATGTGTAAACTTGAGACTTGGAATGGTCTAATTGGTGACATGAAGTGTAAAATTGAGACGTGGATTGTCAAGATTATGACCAGAAGGTGTAAAGCTAGGACTTGGAAGTGTCAAAGTCATTGATCGAAACATGAAGGTTTCCGTTTCTGTTTTCACTATTTTCGTTTTTTCGGTGTTATAAAGATTAAAGTTTTTGTGGCGTTAAAACGCCCTGTCAATCTCGTGTCAAATTATAACATTAACTAATTAAATTAGTATGATGAGTAACAGGTCCTAATAGCTATGATTATCCTAGTCTCTTTTGGTTGAAGCTAGAATTCGGAAACCTTGGTCCCATTATTAAAAGAGTATTCTTCAACCTATTGGCATCGAGCTCTTTGAATTAGTAAGATGAGTAACAGGTCTTAATAGCTATGATTATCCTAGTCTCTTCTTGTTGAAGCTAGAATTCTTATACCTATGGTTGCATTGAGTTCATTCTTCAGCCTGGAAGCTTCAAGCTCTAGATTTCAAAAATTGCATTGTATTAATGCTTTAATATCATAAACAAAGTAGTGGAAGCTTCTCACTCTTCCTCTAGAACACCTGATAATACACTGCAATTTTGTTTGTCAACTTGCCATTACTTTCAGAGAGTCTACATAGCTAATAATATTTATTTGGTATGTAGGTTTGTCAATTTGACGTCAATTTAAGAGAATTCACATAGCTAATAATATTTTAGTGGTATTTGTCAACTCGATATCCCTTTCAGTGAGTTTACGTAGAGAATCCACATAGCTAATATTGTTTATTTATTTAGGTTTTTCAACAAGACATCCCTTGTGGAGAGTTCACATAGTTAATAAAGCTTGATTGATATATTTTTTTGTAAATGAGATAAATCTAAATTTCACAGTCACAATAAAAACATATCTTATAATATGACGTATTCTTTGTTTCAAAATTATAACTTTTAGCTTGTACCAATATATTTCCTGGCTTGCATCGTTATTGCTTTAAAATATTTAAATTTGAATCTAAAAATGACTCCATTGTGTGAAATTGGTGTAGTGGTCTGAATAAAACATTTACAAATTTAAAAACACAAGCTGACTCATCTGATTTCCTTGTATTTTAGATAATAAATGACTTCATGTATCAAAACCATTTTTCATAACTTGAGCTATTTGAAATTTGAGAAAATGTGAAATGGAGGTAAAATGTGCGAAACCTCATTTATAATATTCCATAAGTGAAGTTTTTTCAGTGCCGCTGACATGCCGTAAATTGGAATCGTTGAAAAATAATCAAATTCTTTAATTTGATTGGTCCGTTGATATTTGTCTGGACCAATAAATCATGGTAGAATAATGATTCACCTAGAAATTCTAGAATATGATATCAGTAGCGATGAATAACTCGCGATGTTAAAAATCAAACTTACGCACTTTCATTGAGACTCATAAACTTCTTCATTGTCGTTTTGTTTGTGTTTTATACCTGATGGTCCTGCTCTTTAGAGAAGTCCACTTCTATACCACTTCTACTCTTGATTGTCTCGCTTGTACGAATTGTCTCGCTTGTACGAATTGTCTCGCTTGTATGAATTGTCTCGCTTGTACGTATTGTCTCGCTTGTACGAATTGTCTCGCTTGTACGTATTGTCTCGCTTGTACGAATTGTCTCGCTTGTACGCATTGTCTCGCTTGTACGCATTGTCTCGCTTGTACGCATTGTCTCGCTTGTACGCATTGTCTCGCTTGTACGCATTGTCTCGCTTGTATGCATTGTCTCGCTTGTATGCATTGTCTCGCTTGTAGGAATTGTCTCGCTTGTACGAATTGTCTCGCTTGTACGCATTGTCTCGCTTGTATGAATTGTCTCGCTTGTACGCATTGTCTCGCTTGTATGAATTGTCTCGCTTGTACGCATTGTCTCGCTTGTACGAATTGTCTCGCTTGTACGAATTGTCTCGCTTGTACGGAGTTTTATTATAAAAAGAATAAATTAATCAAACAATCAGCAAATTGTTTTTAAAGATTTTAGTCTGAAACTTAAAAGAAATTTTTATGAATCGTCAAGTCGTTTATTTTTTTTCGTTGCTGCAGTTTTAAATTATAGTTAACACCATTTTATTCTTCTCTAGATTTTCTTACAATTTTTATGTTTTTTCTAATGATTTAGCTACGAAGAAACATTATTTGTTTCCCTCTTATTACTCCAAATTACCAATTCCATTTTTTCTGATTTTCAAAGAACTCACAGTCCATTTTAAGATAATGGAAACTAAAAGAAAAGTTATTTGTTTTCTCAGTGTGGAATATCTTTCGATTATTAGCTAATAGTTTTTGTATCATCAAAGAAAAACAGCTCACATCAACCAATCATTTTCTTTTGACTGAAATCATCGTAAAAACTTGTAATGGGGACTAAATCCGTAGTACTGACAGAAAAATGCCATATTGAATTTCTTTTATTACTGATTTTACCGTGTTGGAAATAAAACCACAAATCTTTTAAAAGGGAAATGCAGTTTTTATGCTACAGGACTTAAGAAATGAAACAATTTTGGATTTGTAAGATTAGGAGTTATATTTTAGAAGATTTTCCATGTTTTAGCCTATTTAAAGTTAATTTTGTTCAAAGCTTTCTGAGTTAGAAACAATAGTTCTCAAAATCCACTACTCTATCTTAACATTCTCTAGGTTGGCTAATTGTTATCATAATTACTAAACAAGTTGTCTGAAGATTGTATAAACTCTGAGTAACAACATGTTTTATCAGGCTGTTTTAATATTTCTAATTATTGAACTCTACAACAAAAGTAAATTTTGTATTGCTTTTTGTTCACCCTGTTCACCCTCTAGGTTGAAAAAGATGATATTAAATCAAGGAATACAAACTTAATTGAGAGAAGAAAGATGATATTAAAGTGTGAAATAGAATCTGAGTTGAGATGTGGTTATCATACTGAGTTACAAACCAGTCGATTTTAGAACCAGATAAACCATGATTCCTGATAGTATCATTTCTTTAGATCTGTCACAGTCAGAGATCCCAGTGATATCAGAACCTTACAACCAAACAGACCTGACAATTCCTGTTACTATAGTAACTTAGATCAGTCACAGTCTGAGATCCCAGTGATATCAGAACCTTACAACCAAACAGACCTGACAATTCCTGTTACTATAGTAACTTAGATCAGTCACAGTCTGAGATCCCAGTGATATCAGAACCTTACAACCAAACAGACCTGACAATTCCTGTTACTATAGTAACTTATATCTGTCACAGTCTGAGATCCCAGTGATATCAGAACCTTACAACCAAACAGACCTGACAATTCCTGTTACTATAGTAACTTATATCTGTCACAGTCTGAGATCCCAGTGATATCAGAACCTTACAACCAAACAGACCTGACAATTCCTGTTTCTATAGTAACTTAGCTCTGTAACAGTCGGAGATAGGACTGGTACCTAACCTAACAAGCAAACGGAGGAGCTGCAATGCTCAGTGAGTTAGACGTTTGCTCGCTAACCTGAAGGTCCCTGCATAGGTCGAGATTATACTTTTGGATTCTTCAACCCTCTTCCCCCCTATCAGTGATGCAGGTTGGAGGGGCTGACATGTATGATTCAGGTTGGGTGTGTAAACTCTGTCAGAAGTTGTAACAAAAGTAAGCTAATGCTGCTGATCTAACAACTCTGCACACAAGTAGAATGTTAAAACTCCATTTCATTTTATGATGGTAGGAACACATGACCATTAGAAGTAGGATATTCGATCTCCATTTTATTCTATTGTACAATTGTAGGGATATATGAACCTCCAATTCCTGATACAAGACATATCTCATTTCTCCTGTTTAATACATGCCAACTACAGATAACATGATACCACCAACTTCACAGATAAGCCATGTCAATTGTCCAGATCCTGTCTCTCTCTGACAGTCTGGGAAACTACAGCTCTACAATCTCTTGATGGAATAAAATTTGCATGAAGCCACTTCTAGTTTGATACGATCAACAAAATGATATGCTGTTATAAATATTTGATATAGTTTATTTACAAACTGAACATTGTGAAATTTGGTAGTAAAGTAAAGAGTAAGCCATCCTAGAGGTTGTAAAGAGTATCAGTAAAATCAGTTACATGAGTTTAAAGGGTTATACAAAAATTAATAGAAACCAACCAAGAGGATGGTTTCACCCCCCCACCCTTCTCTCTTCTCTTTCCTTTGTATTTAGAAAAATAAATTGACCATCAAGATCAATCGACTGGCTACAGCTCTTGACTTTTGACTTTAAACTGGTGGAAATGAGATAGACTGAGGTAATTTCTTTTTCTTCAAACAATTTCTCAAACTTCGATTTCATTTCCTTTTCATTTTAAAATAAATCAGGTATTAAATAGTCTTAGTAACACAATCTTTAAAATATATTTTATTTCAAACCCAAAACACAAATTCTTTATTAGTCAGGTAGATTTCAGATAGTTTCTAGACACAATGCCTTCCAATTACCTGTTACACTAGGAATAGGGTATAATACAAATATATAAAAATATAACATGTAAATAAGTTTGTATATGTTTTTTTCAAAATAATCAATAACTGTCTGACTCAGACCTGTTCCTTTAAAAAATGTGATAGTTTGAAGAAAAAAACTCATAAATCCTGATATCAAAGTTATAAATAATAAATAAATAAAGATACGATTTCCAATACTTTTACTTTATCATATGTTCTAAAAAAAATTAAAAACTATCTGTCTAAGAGCTTGACTTGTAAAAAAAATTAAAAACTATCTGTCTAAGAGCTTGACTTGTAAAAAAAATTAAAAACTATCTGTCTAAGAGCTTGACTTGTAAAAAAAATTAAAAACTATCTGTCTAAGAGCTTGACTTGTAAAAAAAATTAAAAACTATCTGTCTAAGAGCTTGACTTGTAAAAAAAATTAAAAACTATCTGTCTAAGAGCTTGACTTGTAAAAAAAATTAAAAACTATCTGTCTAAGAGCTTGACTTGTAAAAAAAATTAAAAACTATCTGTCTAAGAGCTTGACTTGTAAAAAAAATTAAAAACTATCTGTCTAAGAGCTTGACTTGTAAAAAAAATTAAAAACTATCTGTCTAAGAGCTTGACTTGTAAAAAAAATTAAAAACTATCTGTCTAAGAGCTTGACTTGTAAAAAAAATTTGTTTGTTTAAAGAAAAAAACCCACCCTGATATCAATATGTTATAGGTAATAAATAAATAATAATAAAAATTCAATACACAGTTTATAGTTAGTTTATTGATAGATATTAAACTGTTTTTATTGTTATTTGTAAAAGTCTGTTGATTTTCTCTCACATGTATAACATACTAGTTTTATTACCTAAACAACACATGGGACAGCCTACTAATTATTGACTTTACTCAGGGTCATACTAGGAAGGCAGAGCATGCCCACTATTTTATTGACATATAGGACAACCTAGATTGGGTTGATTAAAGAAAATGGTGACTGTTTCATGACCTGATAAGTCTAATGAAAGAATATCCAGATATTTTCAGCCTCTTCTCTCTTTGCTGATCATCTTTTGAAGGTAGTTATCAGTGGATATAAGATGATTTAATAAGTGTTAGTAGCTATAGGATAGGTTTAATATCCATAGTCCCTATCATATATCACAGGGCTTTGATGAGTTAGTAAGTGTTAGTGGTAGAAGACTGTATCATATATCATTACACTTGTTAACAAATCTCTTGACCAGTCTACAGGCTATTTATCACTCATAGAGGACATCACAGGGACATGACACACACTGGACATCACAGGGACATGACAAACTGGACATCACAGGGACTTGAAACACATTGGACCTAACAGGAACATTGGACATCATAGGGACTTGATACCATACTAGCTTCCAGTAGTTATCCAGTCCCTGTGAGTAGTGACTATGACTGACCAGTGGTCAAGCTGGTATGTTTCTGTCATAATAAATCAGACTCACACTAAACCATACACACTCAGACACCAGTCAGACTCCCAGACCATCTCTCAATTTGTCAACTTAAATTATAACCTACCACTAGAATTTCACAAACCTTTTAGTGTATTGAACTTTATTACATCTATGACTTTCTACAACATTTGATTCGCAAGATTGAAAATAATTTGGGTGACGTCCATTTGGGTACTATGTGCAAATCTTTGGCTGACACTGTAATCCTCTCTTCAACGCATTCAAAACAATTAAATTCTGCATTCAAGTCATGTGATTTTCAAAGTAGTTTTTCGATTTGTTTTGATAATATCCACAAATAATCAAAACTTATTTGAGTATGGACAATCAATCTCTCTTTATGAAAAGGTTAGTTTCCTTGATCAAAACCCCATATACAGTTGTTTGGATAAAGTGAACCACAGTCACATCTACATTATTGATAAAGGATCATGGTATTAATGATGATGTATTTATTTTTGTCTAAAAGAATAACTATAACTAATGATAATTATTGTAAAAAAGACTTGTAGAGAAATATAACTATAGTATTGATTATGTAGTTAATATTATTTTATATTTTATTATCATATTTTGAAACTCAGTGAATATAGATTTATTTTTATTATCATTGATTCTCTCTGTATCATTGTTTATTTTCTTTCTTACTGCTGTTTTATTTTCAATTTTAAACCAAGCTCCTGATTACCCTGAGTACTTTTCAATAGTAACTCAACATTCTTAACATTGGTAGAATTAGTTTACTGAGTTGTAATCTTTAACTCAAAAAAAGGGTCCCGGGGCCCTGTTACTTAAAAAATTTTACGTTCAAGTATGGTAATTGTCAATGTTAAATTTTTGTAGTAAGTATGGTAATTGTCAATGTTAAAT